GGTCTAATGAACGCATTCCCATAATAACCCACATTACTTCTTAGGTTCTTATAACTCATCTTATCATCTTGTCGAAATCATATACGAAATGTGCTCAGCAATCGAAAGAAGCACAAAGATAATCAGTCAAATCCTACCAATTGTTTAAAACATATATTATACACAAATTTTAACGACAAGCCAATGCGTATTTGATCTCGATAAGGGCCACAAAAAGACCAAAAAGCAATTAAAGGAATAAAAATCCTATAATTTCATTACCTTTTGATACTCAGTAGTACGCTTTTCATGCTATTATTACGTTAACATAAATAAATGCTGTTAAATATATATTATGATTTTTCAATAGTCTTTACGTATGCGCACTCGAATATTTATACGTATAGATATGATGGAAAACTTAATTAAATTTTTTCAGAGGAAAACTTTTTTAACAGTTTCCCTATTAAATGTTAGCACTTTTATTGACGTCATTTAAGTCAATTTAAGTTAATAGTTAAAAAGATTCATGTGTGCACCATAATAATAACAATTACTTAAAATTTTCAAGAGCCTTGGATCTTCGCGCGTCAGTAAATTTGACAATAAAATTTGAATCCGTTTCGTTGATAATTTATAGCTGAAATCGCTGGCAAAAAAATTTAGAAGAGATTGAGTTTAGCTCAATGTAATTTTATATGAAAAATATCTATGTGCTTTATTTGATCAGTTGGACCATTTATTTTTCGGCACTAAATTATAAACCGAACAGTATATGTAGCAACATGAATTTCATTTTAAAGACGATCATTAAAGGCACTGCAAGAACGTTGTTGTAAGCTTCTTTCCTTGCAATCATACTTTGAACTTTCTCCATCGGTTATTGAAACACTGACGTTCTCCGTCGAATTGTATATGCCAAGAATAATGACATGAATTACATAAAGAGACTTGAGAAGTGATAGTTAAGGTCCTTATTTCTACTACTCACAATAGAAGAACAACAAATATGTAGATAAAATCAAAAAGCTAATGTTCGCAAATTGTTATATAAGTTTAATAGAATTTGCAAAAGAGGTTATTTTATCAAGACGGTCGCATTCCTTTTAAGAAAATTCACTAAATAAATTTGACATTTTGCCTCAAGCAGCATACGTGATCGGTCGGAGAGATTGTTGGACTGTTTTTGTCAAATTTTTGCTTAGTCCCGGATGCGATAGTTTTACTGGAAACAACCAAAAGAATATCGTGCAGAAGATGAACGAAGACTGCAACAACCGACTGAAAATTGCTCAAAAATGGAAGCCATATTGACAGGTACTTCGACTATCGCGGTGCTATTTGATTTTTACAAAGGCGATGAACAAGATTTGAGAGAATAAAAATTCACCTTATTTTTTGATCACAGTATCATAGACCTTATAGGGATTCTGAAGCTTCCCTTTTAATTTCTTTTTTTAATATTGCAAACGTTTTCACAAAACGAGTATATCCTCGACGGTCATATAATTTCTACTCCATTCGGTTTTCATCAATATTGCACAACTTTCTCGTTCTTTTGATTACTCTACTGCTAATGCTGTCTTGCTACTGCATAATATTAAGGCCGAAATCAGTTATTGCATAATTAAAATGAACCCAACTCAAAATCTTCATACTAAGAATTACTAACTAATCTAAACTAAATAACTTTTTCATATATGGGTGAACTTTTCAATATGTCAATTGGTGTTGATGCAAACAATCTAACCCTTGGGAAAGTAGAATATATAATAATAGCGAATTCTCAATAGCGATAAACGCAAGGAAATTCAAATTGTTACATACAACAACAAATAACGAATTGTTCATGAGTACTCTCAACAATATTTTTGTTGGTGTACATGAGTGAAATTAAAATTAAAATTTTATCAACAAAGAGTAGCATCAATTTTTCCCAACCATGACGATATGTCTTTGATACCGGCAACGGAATTGTGTTCCAAATTGACCGCTTTTAATGATTTATTTTCTTCAAGAACTTCCACATTCTTCCAATTATCAATACTGTTATTATTAAGCCACAAATCTTCGAGCCGTACTAAGTTATTTATATTGTCTTTCTATATTTATATTATTCTAAAATTCTCACCGTTTTTGATTCAATATTGCCTTTGTTAGATGTTATACAATTTACTTTATTAGTAAAGTAACAAAATCACAATTCACAAATAATATTTTATAGTATTAATATAAATTTTTGATTACTTTTGCTTTAATTTGATTTAATTAGCAAATTCACAAAAATTTCATTTTGTTAATGTTCCAGAAGCGCTTGCGAAATAGCTAGAAAACCGTTAACTGGCCATTTTTTTTACGCCAAAAGTAAACAAAAAGAATAAGAATGTGCACAGAGTTGCTTGTAATTTGCATTCGTCATGAACTCTGCCAAAAAGGCGAAAGTGGAAGTTCTTGTAATAATAGATAAATCATAGGTTTATCCTAAAATGCAATGCAATGAAAGATCTTTAGGAAGGAATAAAATACGCAAAGTGAATACAAACTTTCATGTCCATGTACTCCATGCCAAAAATTAATAATTTCGCAGATTAGTAAAATTAAAAATTTTAAAAATGCTTAAATTTTAAAAGAAACTAAATAAATCAGTCAATCATATTCGGCATAATGCATTTAAATTACTTTCAATGCCTTTTTTTTTATCTAAGAATTTATTTCATTAGTATAAAATTATGATTTAATAATAATAATACTAATTTTTCATTGTTTTTTACTACTTTGATTTGCATCTCTTGCGATAGTTCATATTGACGATAAGCAACAGCAACAATAATATGTAGGTGAAAGAAGAGAAAAAGAAGAACAAGAAAAATTAAATTAAAATTCAATATATAAAATTTGAAAAATGGGTGAAAACATAGAATCCTTTCCCCAAAGTTCCTACAAATCTGTCTATCAGGAGCGGATGCAAAGGAAACATAAATTGCAGAACATCACAAGTGAAGAAAGTTGCTTAGACGGCCCGAATGATATCAATAAAACATTGGTAATTCAAAAAGATATCGCGTTAGAAAAAAGCATGGGTCAATACGAAGATGAAATAATGCCTTTAGTGGATTCCCGGCCTTATGTGCAAACGACAATAGGCAATTTTGACAATATGACAGCATCGCAAAAATTTACATCATGTCATGAATTGTTGTCACATTCTGCTGGAAGTGAATTTCATATCACTGATGAAGAGTTAATCGAATGTTGTAACAAAGCGGAAGTTACGATGAAAGAAGTAAACACCATAGACGCTCCAGAAGGAACTCATGATGACAACAAAAAGAAAACAATTGTAGATATAATATTTTAAAAACCCTAACTTTGTACCTTCTTTTCAGATCGTGGTTATATCGAGAAAGAGGACACGTACAACGAAAGTAAGTTGTTTTTAAAATTTGTGAAGATATTTAAATTAATCCAAAATTTTTTAGCTCTAGTCTCATCTAACCAGTGTAAAACTGGGATAAGTGAAAATTGGAATGAAGATGACGATGATATATTTGCCTTCATAATCTTAGATGAAAACGAGAAGATATCTAAGTTCCAAGAAAATAAGCAGATAATCCAAGGTATGGCATTAATATTTCTCACACTTTTTTGATGCTAATTTTTATAATTTTTTTTTTTATATCTGCAGCGAATGGTAAAAAATCTCCATATCGGAAGAGAGCAAAATATCCATACAAAATATTCTAAGAGAATTTCAAGATGATTTGCAGGAAACGAACTGTGAAACTGAATTAAAAGATATAAAAGCTCAGATATCGAAAAAAAGTATGGAAGCCAAGTTTAGAACAACCGCAACCAGAAAAAGACTAATGACTCTTAATGATGAATCAAACCAAACCGGGCATTCGAATGTCCGAAATGTCCCAAAATTTCGTAAAAAGCACTTGTCATTAAATCCAAAATTTAATTCTAAATAACCCGTCGTCTAGTTGGAACTTATAGCAACAAACACTTTTTCAACCGCTTTGATTTGTCATTGGGAAAATCAAACTGGCCTTTCCTGTTGCTGTATATTAATTTATATAATTTATATTTAAATATAAAAAGCTTTATTTGTATAATAGCTTTATTATATATTTAAAATACTTTATTAATATATATAAAAATATATATAAAAGAAATTGTTATTCTTTTTAATGGTTTTCTGGTTGTTTCCGATTCTTCTTCCTTACTTGGTCGCTTTTGCTCTTCTATCATCTCTCATTTGAACAAACTAGTAAAAAATTTTAAAAGTTTCCCGCAAACATTCTCGATTCTTCAAAATATTTTGCTCTGAAACAAGTTATTATGCGCTGTACTGTGTGGAATAGCGGAATGAAATAATAAACAAGTATACGATTGCCATTAAAGTAATTGTCCGTATATTAACACTTGTAATTCTTAGTAATAGACAAATTTCAAAATGTAGGTGATGCCATCCCTATTCTTCGAGTGTAATTTGGAAATTTAAAAATTGAAGAAAACGTGAAAAAAAATAATGTCATTGTTATAGCTCGATTTGGCTAATTTTTGAACATAGCGACAAATAAATTAAAAATCTTGGCCAAGACCGTGCGGTTAGTCAGGCTGAGGATCCCATTATTTGTTCTTGTTAATCATTTATAATTCTCACACTGGACAGCTGACTGAAAGTTGATTTTGGTTTGCTAGCAAAAAATATTAGATCTCGCATATTTCAATAATCTGAATAAATTGGGATTATGAAGAAAAACTAACAAACTAAAAATGATGTATATTTAATGCCTATAGTCAAAATTTTTACATTATTAAAGATATCTTGTAAGGGTTCTTTATTGTTTAAAATATTTCGAGCAGAAGAAAATTGTTGCGGTCTCTGCTCAATATAATCACTATGAAGAATGTCGGAATGAAACAATAAACATATGTACGATTATCATTAGTGTTTTTTTTTTGTGGTGATACCGGTAATTTTTCGTAAGAAGTCAATTTCTAATTAATAAATCATGAAATTAAAAGATTTAAATGATTTAATTATATTTGATGCTTTTCCTTTAACTTATGATCCCAAACAAAAGATTATTTTGACGCATTTACTGCATTTGGAAGAGCAAACTTTACCGCAGAAGCTTTGCACCATTTATACTACACGAAATTTGGCGGAAAAATTTAAGAAATATTGTGAAATCACCAACTATAAAGGTCTCTTTACAGATAATTTTTGCTATTTGGAACCTTACAATTTCACAGATATAATTATTGAAAAACGACATACACTGCAAATGTTCACATGTGAATCTCAAGATGCGGATCATAATTTAATGATTTTAATCAGAGAAAATGGCAAACTGAACTATATATATGCAGGCAATTTCTTGGATACGCGTACAGCTTTGTTAAATGATGATTTTGCTAAGTGGATTAGTCAAGGTGTGGAAAAACTATATGTCAATTTAAAACATGTACCTGATGACCAACTTTACACATCGGTACAAAAATTGCCATTGCTAGCTCAGTGTTTAAAGGAGATTGATACCATTGTGGAATATCATGAGGGAAGGACTTTTGCCATATATTTAAATTTATTCGGTTACGAAAACTTTATTTATAAGCTATCCAATCGATTTCCTAAACGTGTGGCGTTGCTTTCTAATTTATCAATATTCAACGATTATTCCGAAAAAAGAGATGACAAGTTGTTAGAAAAGCTAGACGTTGGTCGCATATTTGTTACGGACGGAGTAATTTCTGAGGAAAAAGCGAAAGAAAATTTTGAAAAACACGGGAATATTTCCATTAACGTAATAGCAGACACCGCCTCTTGTTTGCCTATTGGTTTAAACAAAGGTAACCATTTTTATAGATTGTGTTATTCCCCAGAGCCCGAAACATATGACTTGCAGTTATTGGTTTGTTTGTGCAAACCAAAACGTATTTACGGAATTATCGACCGCTTCAATATGAAAAGTAAGCCACCAAAACATTTGATAGAATACTGTAAAGGAATACCTCAATTGGCAAGAAAACCGCAGCAGCAACAGCAGCCAGATGCAAAGCTAGAAAATAAACCTGCTTTGCCTGTTATTTTAGGTCCCATTAGTTATAATCAAAATCAACAAGGAGCGCATCGAGGACCATTTTTAGATGATTGCGAAAGCGATGAAGACAATTCGTAAGACAAGAAAAGGAACGAAAAAAAATGGCAAGGACTAATTGAGGCTGGATAGCTACGGCCTCATTAACAGGAAGAAAATCATTCAGTATTAAATATTTCATCGATTCATTTATAGTAATATCAACAATTGCTTTTATTTAAATTTTTGCGTTTGCTATGATACAGCAAATGGTTATGAATAAAAAATAAACTGCTTTTGCCTATAAAACTCGACAATTTTCTAATTTAAGGATAATTTGAAAATATTACTATTATAAAATAAGATCTTTTTTTGCTCTAGACGTTGCTGACATCGCAAAATACAGCGCCGTATTTTCTATGAGATTCCGTTTTTGCTCCTCTTCGAATTGAATTAAGCAAGGACTCATTTCAAACCATTGAAGATTTTCTTTGCTCTTTACTTTCTTTCTAAAATGTTTGGTTTTTTATTTAACAAATACTTCGTTTTTTTGAATAAAAGATAGTAATTTTATAATTACGGTGCCAAAAATACCACAATGCTGCCAAATAATTGCTCTTAGAGCAAGCGCAGTTTTACAATAATACCAAAATGCTGCCATTAGCCGAGCGAATTTTTGCAACAACAAAGCCAACCGCAATGCTGTCAACTATTTAACAATCTTTATTTTCTGTAAACATCGTATCAAACGCATCCAAATGCCGCCGAAATATGAAAATCATTCGTCGAAGTTTTTATTAAAATCATTCGATTATCATAAACAATTTTCCCATATCTATGCCCATCGTTTGGCTGAGATGTCTGGGCTACTGGCCAAACGAGCCAGTATGCATTGGGGAAAACGACTACCGATAAAAAAATTATGTGATCTACGGGAAGATTTTGCAGAAGAATGCATTATCATTGGAACAATTTATAAACACCAGGCTCATAAACCTAGTATTCTTAAAGAAATTTCTGAAGAAAATCAGTTGGCTCCACAACCTCCTCGACAACATTATGCTGACCCAGAAGATAAAGTCATACTAGAAGACGAATTGCAACGCATACGTTTGTTTGGTAAGATTGCAGCGGAAGAAATGGCAACTGGGGTGAGTTATTCAAAAATAATTTGCTCACATCTGAGATTAAGCGTCTGAATTTGTTTACAATTGAAAATAATTCAAAGAGTTTAATATGTAAAATCAGCTACCTTCTTCTATTCTCCTTTGGTCTTTACAATTTTATTAAAAATCAATTATAATTAGAATTTTTGTATGCAATTTTTCGACCTTCTTGCCTTTTTCTTTTCGTTTCTTAATTTCAAGGCGGTTTGCGCTGTGATGGGTATTATAGAAGAAGGTGGACGTTTTGATGTTCAAGATGTTTTATATTATGAAAGTGGTCCACAGAAAGCATTGTCGCTTATAAAGGAGAGTAAATTGTTGGTATTGATATCCGGTTTAGAGCAGTTACAATCGCATCATTACCCGGACAGTTTGAATTTATTTCAACATTGGCTGCGAGGCACTTTTACATCAGTGAAAACACAAAAAGAAAAAGTTCGTGTCATTGTAGCTGGTAATTCAGTGCGTGGCGTTGTTGAAGACAAACGGGTAACAGCTTTCCAGACGCGCGTTTTTGATTCCAAAGAGTTGGTAAATGCCATGAAAGCCTTGGACGAATGGTTTGCATCTTGGAGTAGTTTTGTGCCCCTAGATGTTATGCCTGGCGCCTGCGACCCCGCCAATTTTATGATGCCTCAACAACCATTTCACTATTGCATGTTTCCATTAGCAGGACGTTACGAAAACTTCCAATGTGTTCCCAATCCATACGATTGTTCTATAGAAGAGATACGCGTACTGGGAACTTCAGGGCAAAATATAAGCGATCTATTGCGCAGTACGGCTTTGGAAAAACCGATGGATGCTTTGTGCAAAACTTTAATTTGGGGACATTTAACTCCAACAGCACCAGATACTCTGGCTTGCTATCCTTACGTTGATACGGATCCGTTTATTATAAGAGAATGCCCTCATATTTACTTCGCGGGTAATTGTGATGAATTCAGTACTACTTTACAAAAAGGCCTAGATGGTCAAAAAACACGTTTAGTTTGTGTGCCCAGTTTTGCAAAAACTCAAAGCATCGCAGTTGTGGATTTACTTACTTTGCAATGTCATGAAATTATATTTAAGGCTGAATAAATTTTATATTTTATTTACCAAATATTTAGCTTTGCGACGGCTGGCGCAATAAATTTTAAAATAACTAATGTACTACTGGGCCTAAAGGTTCACCTCTTATATTCGCAAAATCCAATCTGGAATCAATAGTTTCATCTATTTGTCCTATTACTGCAATGTTATCACCTCGTATGATATGCAGACCCAGAACTATTTGCTCGATGCCGGTAGTTGTGGAAAAAACACGTTCATGTGATTCGTCCAAAATGACATTTATAGTCTGATCAAAACCTTTCAATGTTCCTATGAAATTCCGACCATCTGCAGTGATTATCGACACAGTGTGATTAATATATTGCTCCAAAGCGGAAGCCATTATAACGGATTCATAGAAAAAAATACTAATAAGAATAAATATTTAGTTAATATAGTTTGGCGGAAAAAAATAAAACTCTTACCGTGGCGTTGTTGATTTGTAAGCAAATACTGAATTTGGCAGCAAACGTACAGCTTTCTATTAGGCACGTCCACTGTTCCCGTCGTTCTATTGTCTAATTATATTAGTAATATTTAATGGATTTAATATTTCTATAGTAATAGCAATCGTAGTTTGTTTCTTTTGTTTTCGTAAAGAGAACAGCTGTTGTTAAAACAAACGGTTGGGGAAAAATGTGCTAATTTGGTGTAACTTAGTATTCAACCATGCAAACCCTCGCATTTAATATTTTTATTTAAAAACAAATCACCCTGTTATTTTTCCGTGTTTTGTTCTTTACTTGACAGAGCTGAGCTACAAAATTTAATTGCTCGTTCCCGATTTTATGGTCAGTTTTCGAGCGGCTATTTCAAAAAAAGAAAAAAAAATTATAGTAGTTAATTGAACTTTTCGAAAAATAACGTTACCCCGCGAAAATAGTCATGTTCATAGAAAAATTATTGATTTTTAGTGCATACAAATCGGTATCGCCCTATAATAGGTATGTGCTTAGAATGATTTAGATATTACTAAAAGAATGGGCCCCAGAATGTATTCCAAAATTTGCACTGGATTTGAATTTCCCGCCATTTCTGAGGAAAAGCGGAGGTAAACAAAAAGAAAATAATTTGTCAACTGGCGGGTTAGTGAAAGTGAACGATTACACGAAATCTAGCAACGCTTTTCCTTTGTTAAACAGCATTTCAAATCCACTTCACAAACTTGCTCTTTAGTAGAAATTTCTTTGGTTTGTCGTGAAAAAACCGCTAGCTGGGGTTTGTTGCAAATGTCCATCAAGTGTGAAAAATACCAGGTTTTGTCATACAATCGAGATGCCTTGAAAATGCAAGTAGTTACAACATATGCTAACGTTTAAAAACTGATGCAATACAATGCAGTCCAATAAAAACGTCTCCACAATTTTGTTAAAATGACATGACATCGACAACTAGGTTAAAAATGACTTATAGCCTCCACAACTAGAATGAAAATCCATCGTAGCCACCATTATGTTAAAAACGAATTATAGCCGTCGCAAGTATGTGGAAAACGATACAAAATTACTACATTCAACGGCACAAAATTACTACATTCAATAAAAACGCAGTCAAAAGCTAAAAACGACATGTGTTAAGATATGGTTTTTATAATTTTAACTTATACACAATATAACTTGTATAACAGTTACAGGTAGTGAACTGATAAAGTATATTATAGTCGTTGTTTACTGAACGTCTTAGACTTTCCTTCTCTCTTTGCATTGTTGCCTGCTTATTTACTTTTACAAAATGTAATTATGGAATATGCAAAACAGTTTACAGGTATTTGGGTATTTTTATTGCATACATTTCAGCTGATTGTTTTTCTCCTATTAAACGGTGCATGCGTCGATTTGTTTTGGCGAATTTTGAGAGATTTTTGCTCTCATTGATTTTTGTGTTTTGTAAAGAAAGAAAAAATCCAAAGAAAGGGCATAAAAAATGAGAAAAATTGTAACACGTAACCGTAGTTAAGAATGAAATTTGACAATGGATATAAAACAGGGTTGATGTCTTTCGCATATCCATAAGCAGACGTATACACGCACCTACACATTCGCGCACACACACACACACACACATGCATACATACATACATACACAAACGCACATTCGAATAATAATAGTAGATACATTTGCGGTGAGCAATTTTTCGTACATTCTGGGAACAACAGGAACTTTTCTTTTCTTGTTAGTATCCTGATGTTAAGTGAAAAATTAAGTGCGTTGCTAGTAACTGCTTAACTAACGCAAGAACAATAAAAATAAGAGAAATTTGAAACGATAAAGTTACAAAACAGCAAAAATAAAAATCCAAATTAAAAATTACACAAACAAATTTGATATATTTTTAAATACAAAAGTTAACGTAATTTTTCTAAAAAAGAACTTTTACCAGAATTATTAACGCACAAATATATGTACATGTATATATATATATATATATATATCTGTATAACATATATATATGTATATATATATGTTCATGAACTAAAAGTAAAAAAAAGTATTAAGTAAAAATACATGTATAAAATATAAAGAAATAGGAAAAGTAAAAATATCCTGAGACAGGAAAAATTGAAAAAAAAAAAAAATATTTACAGCTGTTTATTTATTTTCTTTTTTTTTGTTTCTTGTTCTACAATTAACACAATAACGTAATAGAAATTATCGATTAGTTGTATATGTAGCAGAATAATAAGTACGCTTTTTTTTTTTAGACCACACTCAGCTGCAAATCCAATCTCCACGTCTTACAGTACATCCCCCGCCTTAAACCATAACTTAGGCAAAGGTAGTCATTAATAAAAATACAAAAAAATAAAAGCAAAATAAACGAAAAGCAAAAAAAAAACCAACACCCTTTACCACCTACTATTAACAGTCGAACCATATTTCTCTGATGCAACTCTCATCAACACAATTATTACACCAACAAACTTGTGAACAATATTGTATTTAATTTCCCATGCATTTTTGTGCTAGTCGCACTCATGTAAAAGTGTTAATATCAAGTGCTCTTTTTGCCTAAAAACGTGTTTAATTAATTAAAAGAAGAACAACAAAATATTATAAAAAATTATAAACAGTTTATTTCAATTCCCAAATAATTAATAACTTTTCAAGCATATATTATTGTATGCCTGCATGAGTTCATATACCAAAATTTGCTGAATATATATATAGATATATATATATATATATATATATACACCTAAAATCTCAACCATCTGCTAATCATTACTATATTGAAATTTATTAAAGAAATCAAAACCATATCTGACAGCTTTAGCATTCATTCGCTCACATGGTAAGTAAATAATAAATAAATAAATATGTGCATATAGCTCGGGTCACATCCGTATGGACATGTTTGATGAATCTGATTATTTGATCATTTAATCTTAACCTATTAAAGATTGTTGCCCTCTTCTCGGATGTTCAAAAAAATGAAATAAATTTATTTTCTGCTTATGAAAAGTATGCGTTATAGAAGAAGAAGAGAATTATTTCACTGTTTTTTTCTTAATATTCTTAACATATTTATAGGGGAAGTATTATTTCTTCTAAAGAAAACAGTAAATTTCTTACGGTTTTCATACCGAATTTTATTTAAGCATTTTTCTTTTGATTTTCTGCTTTTGGTCAGTTTTGAATTTAAACAAATTTTGCTTGCAATGTGTTTGAATACAAAGTAATTTGATTATAAAGATTTTTAGAAATATTTACATCATTTCTACTTCGGATATATTGGAACTTTCTTAAATATGAAATTTTGGCCTGTCTGTAATATGCTTTATTTGATCCTTTTTGGCAACTTTTTTTCCGATTAATGGCTTTTTTAACTTCCAGGTTTACGGGTAAGAGCGACAGATTAATGATCTTTATGCCGTAAAGAGATCTAAATTCATGAACGTATATAATTCGCTCGAAACATACTCATATGCACTGACATTTGCCATTTCTTTTTGTAGGCTTAAAGTACACCTTTGCACACCAAATATTGTCTTTGCAAATATATGTACAAAACAATGCGACAAAAAACGTTGTATGAGCTTAACTAGGTTAGTATGCTACGCTGTGGATATTGATTACTGGTCTTTGGTTGGTTTAGTTTACCAGCATTAATAGCAATGCGAAACTGTCGGGGTTTTCTAGCGTATTTGGATAAATATATATATATATATATATATATATATATATTTTTTTTTTGTAGGAAAAAGAACATTTTTGTGACACAAAAGGAATAAACTAAACAAATTATAATCTATTTGAGTCCAAAATTAGATAAGAGTATCATATGCAGATTTTTGTAGATTTACTAATTCTAGATATATTTGTAGGCCGACAGAAACTGGCTTCGTGCTAAGTTTTTTTAAGACAGTTCATTTATTCTTTGTTTTTTTTTGAAAAACGTTAGATAAATGTCGGTTACAGATTGTATGCACGCAAGATTATTATATTTAAGTCTGACTTTAATGGTTTTTTTTTTTTTTAACAAATCATTCACAAATGGGACTCTCAGTCATTTATAGGAATACTAGAAACAATATAGATGTTATTATTATACCCTACATCGCTAGAAGGAAATGTTAAGCATGTGCGGAGTCAAAAAGGATTTGAGATAGGCCCACCTCTTATTTCAACGTTCGATTCAATATCATTTGTCCGTCCGTTTGGCCACCTTGCTTTCTTATGTTCAACCAAGAGACTGCAATTTTTGAGATATTTTCGGACACTGATGATTCGAAAAAACAATTAGAATCAGAACATTTCTTGTGTTTTTCTTTACATACTTGAAAGCTGGGAAATTTTTATTATTCATGTATATAAATATGTACACAATTGCATTGTCTGGGATATTTACGAATATAAACATGTATGAAATAGTTTGCCGTCGGGGATATATTTCATGGTGAAGGATATTTACGAATGTATTCAAATGTAAAATCTGATGGGTGCGAAACAAATAAAACCAAATCAACAATATAAACAAACAAAGTTAATAATTTATTTATTTTTATTATTCGAATCGGTTTACCTTTTCGACGATTCCCCATAAAAAATCTTGTTTTGAGAATTCTTTACCTGAGTAGATGTATTAAAAGAAGTGATGTAGGGTATATAATGGCAAGCCGCGTCCCACCAAAGTGTTTTAACTTGTTTTTGTTTACGATTTGAATTCATTTATACGTGCTTAAAGACAGAGAGACATCATATAAATGTAAACTATTATACACAGGCCATATACCTTTTGAAAATGTAAAATGAAATAATCAAAAAAATTGCATTCAAAGCTCGAAAGTGGTTCCAAGTCATTTGCGTGGTGGGATTATGGTTAAATCATAGTAAGGTTAATCCGACATATTTCGACATTTTATAGAATCAGGTCAATTGTTTTAAATCATTATGTTAGGTTTTGCTAATGAGAAGAATTTAACAAAAAGAGGCGTAATGCAGTTAAATATAATTTTTCTAAAATCTAACGTGAAATCCTTAATGATGATGTGGTGCTTACGAGCCTGAAAGTCTAAGTAATCTTTTATTTTATATCAAAAATAGTGTCGTTTTGGAAAGAGACTTTTGCTAGCAATGCCAGCACCGTAAGTGCAAAAGACAATCACAACATTTTCGATAAATCTGAAGCTGTTGAGCTCTTTTCAGCGACATTTGTTCAATTATTGATTTGGCGCTGGGTGTATGACGCATGAGTGGGCATATAGATAAGAATCGGATCTACCAAGTCGGCCACCACCTGTTCAAATCTCAATGCGGTCGTTACTCTTTCGTGTCTACAGTGAGCGTCCAGTCACTAATGCCACAATACTTTTCGTTCAGCCATTGCACCCCTTAAGCTGCGACCACTTCCCATCTCTTTCTCTTTACCATTTCCTTCCGGCCATTGCCATTTTACCCTATAGAGGGCATCATTTGAGTGATTAGTTGAGTTAAAAAAATATATGTATATTTATATATAAAGTTACGGTCCATAATCAGTGATTACGCATTTCAAATTATCCTTTATATATATCTATATCTTCAGTCTCTCGGATAGGATCGAATCAGACGACAAGGCAAACGGGATACATAGAAGTTTTGTTTTTTAAAATTCATTGAATTGGTTTTTCTTCTTTTTTTCTACAAACATGTGCTCCTCAAGACTTTTGATTTTATTGATACGCTTGTTAGTGACTCTGGGTTATGGTTTTGCGGAACGCGATTCGTCTTTAAATGTTGTCTTTTCAGTTTTTGCGTCACTTGCACAAGCTATTGTTTCGTAGCCACAACACTTTCTTAACATTGCCAATGCTTTTGCATTTGCATTGCAAAGCAATTTAATTTTGTGAGCGGAATTCACCGCAAATTCTTTGTTCGAAAGTTTTATTCATTTTGCAAATTCGCCGACAATATTTTTCAACAAAGGACACTTTAATTTAAAGACTGAAAAAACGAATGACCTCAAAATTTCTATCAGAAGTTAACAACAATTTCATGTCCATCTAATAAAAAAGGAAAAAAAAAAAGACAACAAATGTGAAAACACTATGATGGGATACAACACATCACTCAATACCCCCTACAACACTTCGCTTAATACAATTTTTTATATAACAACCTTTCAAAATAAGGCTTGATATGGGGACTGGTTGAAAAAGTGGTCCAATCCGAACTATCGTCAATAGTTTGGTATAATAAATTTCCTCAAAATATCTTAAAAATGGCCCACGATGCCCACATTGAACAGAAGATAGGTGGACAGACAGGCAGACAAGTGGACAGATAATCCTAGATCGATGCAAAAAGTGGATCTGAATCGATCGGCATAATAAACGGTGAGCCTCATCTCTTAAGTATCTCAAGCCCTTGTGAAGGCTGCTTACATCCGCTCAAACTTAACATACCCTTGCACCTTAAGCGGTGTAGGGTAAGAGAAGCTTTAATTTAATATTCGAACTGCGCGTAATTACAATCATGAAAATTCCCGCTATTTTTAGATATTTTTTGTTTGTCCTTTAATTAGAAATGTTTCACATTTTTTCTTCTTCTTTATACTTGAAAAGCCTAAACGTAAAGTGAAACGATAATTTACAATCTTTCAATCTTTGGTAGCGTCAACTTGATTATTTTGAAAAACTAAACAAAATTGTACGCAGTAAAAGTTTTCATCATGAAAGCGAAGTTTTAGTGCAAAACAAGTCAGAAAATCATGTTCCATTTGATGAGAATCTTAGATACCTTTCATAAAAATTACATCCTTTGAATAGCTTGGAATAATTGGACATGGTTTAGGATCAAGTTAGGCAGATGTTTGTCAAAGGCATCTAAAGAAATCAATATAATGAAAATTGCCATGTGTGTAGCGATTGTATTGTACAGACAGACAGACAGACGGGCGAAGGCACAGTCATAACTCATAGCGAATCGAATCACTAGAAATCACTATTATAAATATTTCCGCGTGTATAGCGCTTATATTGCACAGACAGACGGACGGACTGATGAAGGCTTAGATATAGCTTATAGCCAATCGAAACACTCGAAATCAATATAATAAATAATGCCGCGCTTATAGCGGTTCTGTTGCACAGACAGACGGACCGACTGATGAAGGCTTAGATATAGCTTATAGCCAATCGAAACACTCGAAATCAATATAATAAATAATGCCGCGCTTATAGTGGTTCTGTTGCACAGACAGACGGACGGACTGATGAAGCCTTAGATCTAGCTTATAGCCAACCGAGCACTCGAAATCAATATAATAAATATATCCGTATGTATAGCGATTGTGTTGCACAGACAGACGGACGGACGGATGAAGGCACAGGCATAACTT